AAAGGAAAGTGTACTCGGCATTAGTTAAACACAGATCAATAACTGCAATATGCATTTGGGTATACAATCAATTTTCCAGTTGATATCCAACTTCTTGCTATAATAATTTATAATCTGCCTTAATGGTATTTATATACATGCCCCATGTTCAGTTAGAATACAAACATCTAGGGTATTTTGAAATCCAATAAAGCATGTATCAACTGTTGCCACTTGTACAGACCACAAAATTATGTTCAAAATGGCCATGCTTGCAAAAGGTCAGATAGATTTGTTAACCAGTAATTGTTTTGGAGACTAAAATTCCTGTTGATCATCCGAGAGGCATGTAATAAAAAACATTAAAGCCCAAATATGGATGTGCCTTCGTGCAAAGAGAACATTTGCCCTCTTAATTGGGAACAATGATCTCGAAGCTTGGACACAAATGCCTATACTCAGCCAGCCGGTGTACATGGGTATAGAATGGAGAGCCTTTTAGAATAAATACTAGTATATTGATTTCTTGAAAGCCAGCTTCAAATTTCGCAAATGGGAAACTATAACCATTTCATTCACAATTAACAAAACTGTTATAGAAAAATAAATAAAAATGTGAGACAGCAACATTTTGGTGGAATAAATTTGATTACAAGGGATTAAATCAACCATTTTATTTGGAGGAATCAGCCAGTCCTCTCAAATGACACATCAAATGTTGGAGAGATACAGCAGATTAATCTCAAAAGTTTCAAAAGAAGTAAACTTTCAATAATGTCACTATGTGTTAATTATGAACAATGAGTACGGGGAGATTGGAAGATTGAAAGATCATGTCATACTTCTCATTATACTTTAAATTTAAGTACAACCAATGTTGAACTAATGTTGATTTTAAAGCAAAATTACTCACTTTATATTATTTACATTCATATAATTGCAGGATTTAACAAAATAGATTGTAAATTTAGTGTAAAAAATTGTGCTACTACGATAACAAGAAATCATTCAATCATTTAACAAGAAAACACAGAACTTATTGTATTTTTAAGGTCCACAAAGAAACCAGCAACAACAATGACTAAATTTCTGCGAGTTTGTAAAACAACAAATAGATTGCGAGAAAGTGGCCTCAAGACGAATGATTATGACGGGAAATGTTGCTGGGATAAAAATGCACACCTCTGATAGATAACTGGACTCACGATTTTGTTTGTCTGTAAATTCATCGAACTGTTCTTTATTGAGTGCTGGATAACACAATATAGGCTTTGGTTTTAGACTTGTAGGCGGCCTCAAAAATGGATGTTTACATACTCTGTTGGTATGTATGGTTATAAGATACATACAGCTGGACGGTTCATCTACTCGGTGTATGGTGTCCAATCCCACCTCATCACACATAAACTATAGAAAAGATGAAAGTAAAGATGTAAATACAATTTGATTCACAGACTTATAATTCATCAAATTTGAAGGGTGATTGTATGCTGGTTTTGCTCAAACAAGGCATTGTTGACACTAATTCAAACACATGTCTGATGTTTGCGAGATAGTGTGATGGCAAACTATGGAATTCCAACCTAAATTCATGGAATTTTTTTTCATCCAAAAATCCTAATTTTAGAAGAAGAAACCAACACCTAACCCCACCCCCTCCCCACTCCAAAAATACATTGAGCAAATACAGTATGGAGGTGTGTCATAACTGACTCTACTGCAGCATATGCTGATTTACAATAATAGCTACTGACTAGGACAATATCAAAGCATGTGGATGTGTCAGCCATATGTCAAGTTCACACCGTATATCAACTAATCATAGCAATTCATTCAGCACAAACATGATAGAAACAAATGAACTGAACTTTAGACACTTACCCTGACTTCTGATTCTCGTTGTCTTTGGGTCAGGTCACACACTGATCCATTTTTATAAAGATGACTATGGTATCTATTTATTTTATGTCTTTTGGTTTCCTGTCATGTAACAGCATTTTTATTTGTTAGTGCCATGCATACAGTTTTCATATTAAACTACATTAAATGCTATATATTAATGATAGGGTAGTGGTAAAATACTTTATTTTAAATAGAATTAATTTCAGTCGAAAAGACATTTTGGATTTTTCGTATGAAGTATATTTCGCTGACTTTTGATGAATTGATTGTAAAGATTTCATTTCACTGATTCATCCCTTCAAAAAAATTCCAAGTGAAAAAAAGTACTTTACAGTATTCATTTTCATTCATCAGCTATTTACATGTTATTATAAATGTATGTACAACATATCACCATGTATACTCATTTTGGCCATGCAAAGGTAATTTTGACAACATTGAGATGGAAAGTTCAGTGTATATGTAACAAGACTTTCTCCTTGTGTTGAAACAGTTTGAAAATGCAAATGGTCAATATTAAATACACAAGGAGTAAATTAAACCTGCACTTTAAACTGAGTGTATTTAATACTTACAGATGAATTAGAATTTGTAGACCAATCCATTTCTGAATGATAATTTCCTAACGATATAACATCTCCAATTATATTACCATCATCCATGTGGTACTGTCTGATAGTTTTTCTGTAACAAAATTCATAGGTCCACCAACCTTTAGTCTGCAAAAAATAATTCAGAATTTGACAATAAAAAGTGTAAACTGGTTAAATTTTGATGACTGGGAAATTTGCAAAAAATTATTTCTCACGAAATAAAGGCAGAGTACCGGGTACCCGGTATTTAGTGTTGTTGTTATAGTACACTGAAGTCATTCTATGTTCACACAATTTATTTTGACAATGCCATTTTCATCCTACATCCTACCGGTATATGGATGGATTAAAAAATATCGACAAAAAATACAGCTCATGATATTCAACAAATTTAAAGTATGGTATGTACTTTGTGTCGTCTTCATAAACAATGTGAATAAAATGTTTTTATTTTAAAATCACCCAAATTCCCTGCTGCCATAGAAACAATGTGATAACAAGTTTTTAAATAATTTATTAATTAATCTCCCAATTACTAAATATTTTATAGGATTAAATTTGAAATGCACACAACTAAACATTGTAATTATACATGTTGTATAGGTAGCATGAGACAAACATGAAACAGGATGTGGTTCTACGACTGTGACGCATTACTTCAAAACATGAAACAGGATGTGGTTCTACGACTGTGACGCATTACTTCAAAATATGAAACAGGATGTGGTTCTACGACTGTGACGCATTACTTCAAAACATGAAACTCTCCAAAAAAGTAATCATGCAAATATTTTTCACAATAGTTCGTTCAGGTGTTACAAATGATGAAAAAAGAACAAATCATGCTATGAACACACATGTAATATTACTTTTGAGTTATCCATGCATGTAAATTGAGGATTAATAGTTATGTTACTATGGTTACATACTGATGATGAATAATAACAAAAGGCACTGAAGAAGAGCGACACCGGTATAATTGTATTTCATTAGGTTCCATCTGTCACGCTTACCAAAAATAGTACGATAATCAGAATAAAACATAATTGAGAAGATGAGGTCTGTTTTTAATACTGGTATGCTCTGATAGCATCAACAAATAATTTAAGTCAGATTTTTTTTATTCCTTGTTTCTCGAGTTTTTATAAGGCAATTTTTTTGAGTTTTTATTCCATGTATAACCTTGTTTCTCATCTGTGCGGTACTTTTATCATGATACTCCCACGAAAATGCAACTTGGGTTTTTTATGCGGCGAGTGGAAAAAAAAATGAAAATAAAAATAAGGTGTTTTTTTTCCACTTACAAGTCAAGCGAGAAATTACGCTGAAATAAAATTTTTTTTTTATTTCATTTTTGGCTCCTGTTCATTCGACGGGTTCGCGAAACAGGGGATAATAAAAGTCTGGCCTCAGTGAAAAAAATAGTGCAATGAAAAAATGTGACATCACAAATTTTGGCTGGCAAAAATAAGGAATTCAAAGGGTTTAGTATGCTGTATACCTTGTATGTTCATGAAAATTACTATTTTTCACTGAAATTTAATATTCATCTATTAGTATGCAAATTGGTCTGTTTCTAAATTATTATATATACATTTAGACAATTTTTTCACACCCACTTGACATTATTTGCATCAACTCTACATTCATAAACCTATTTTTCACAAAAAATAATTTTTATAAAAAATAGTGCTTCTGTGTGTACCTACATATTAATAACATGATTATGGTACTTGAGCCCTTAACATAGTTCAGTGTTTAATCTACAAATTAAGTGGGTTTCAGAGAGTACATGTATAAACAAAATGGGTTTCAGAAAGTACAAAGTGAGTTTCAGAAAGTACAAACAAAATGGGTTTCCAATAACATGTACATTTACCAAATAGGTTTACCGGTACACTATCTTCAACTTTCTGTGCACCCAAATCAACTTTTTGTTACCATCACAAAATAAATAATTTTTCACAAATTTTGATTTAGTGTGTCAGTATGTATTAAGTATGTCCATCGAGTCAAAAATAACAAAGAAATCATACAAAAATTCATAACTTTTTTGGCAGTATGGGGTGGATAGGGAACAAAATGTTACCAGTTACTCACCTTTATTAAACATGGCTGCGCCTCCATTGGTTTCAACAATTCTGATATACCAATTTCAGATGCTAATTTTTCTTCTTCCTGTTCTTTTTCATGGTCCTCCATGTCAGGCAGTTTGCACTCATACTGCTGCCCATATTTAGACTTCATATACATAATATTACTATCATCTGCCTATGGATTAAAAGAGAAATTTAACACTGTAATGATGTTATATGTGATTGCACAGGATGGCAATGATGAATATATATGTGTAATACTGAATTAGATATTTGTTTAATGATGCGGCTAAAGCTTCACATAAAGCTTAGACAATAAGGTAACATACAATAACACAACTTTCCAAAAAAAGGTTCATACAAATAGATATCGACAAGTGTGGCTAATAGAGATAATTTTTATTTTATTTAAGTATGTTTTTGTGCCAGTTTTTAATTTAATGCGCTATCCTTCTATGGACCAGACCCAGTCGAACACAAGCACCTGCGTACCTTACCTAAGGTCACATCTGTTAGTGGATTTAGCGTTCCCATTGAGTCTGTGACAAACTCACTCAGGATATCACTCACTAACTACCGTAAAATTCCTTTTTGAGGCCGCGGCTTTAATTAAAATTCATTTTTTCAATGGACGAATTCAGATGCGTGAAGTCTTGGTGCGGCTTTAATTAGAGCATTCACTTTGGTAACAGTGGGAATTTTTTTCAGAAAACAAAGGCCAGAAAGGATAATGATATGCTAATGAGATGCACGACACTCGATTGCAACTTTGTTGCGATTCTAAAGCACTTTCCGATTTTTACATACAGACAAACTTGTACACAAAAGAAATTTCACACTGTATAACATACTGCACAATAAATAATATCTACAAATAGATTTGTATGCATTTGCAGAATACGGTACTGTATACTACAATCTCTTGAATAGACTAATTTGTTAATTTTAGTAACCGTGCAGACAGCCGTCTGACACAGTCGATTGCAGCATGTTCGACTTCAGGCAGAGTGACTGTACATTCCATGTTTAATCTAGACATCGGGGAAATAAATAATAAAAAAAGTCAATTCAAAGAAAAAAATGATAATGAAAAAAATACTCAGTATATTATTTAATGTAATATATATTTATTTTCTTATTTTTGATAACGAAAAGTATATTCTAAAAGAAGTCAAAACAAAAACGAATGCATTCTTAGTCGCAAATGATCACGGTAACGGTCATGCTGCATTTCACACAAGTGAATAACTTGCTTGTTTTCGAAGTGTTACAATTGCTGATTATTAATCAGTAGTGATTACAATAATTTACAAAAACTAAATTCGTTGAGTTGTGAAAATTCAACTTAGTTTCACCGCAAGCGAATGATTTTGGTCACATATATATGCTCGATCCGATACGATATCCGCCATGTTAGTTCAAACATCTTTAGTGACTTGAAACTGTGAGGTTGACCTGATAGGTCAAGTCGCTAATTAACCAATTGAAACGCTGGATGGTGCTAACGTGATTAAATTACCATAGCTCATTTAAATATGTTAATGCAGTTCAGCGACCTCATGGTCGAAACACGGAAGAGATTTACCGTTGTTGTTGTAGTGCGATCGTTTGGCTTTGATTTTGATGGGAAAACGGCACGATTTTTTTTTAAATCAAGAAATTAGTTGTTTTCGAAAGATAAGCTGAGCATTGAAGAAGAATTTAACACTTTTGAAGATAATAACAGCTCATTGTCAAAACGCAGTTTACCCAGTCACGTTACCCACAATAAACCTGTCTCTGGAATAAGGTCAATGACTAGGAAAACCTTAATTAGACTCTAATTTAAGCGTCAGGAATCATTGAAATGTTTGAAAAATTATGCCCTAATTTAAAATTAAATGGTATATCTTTTTCTGAAATATGTGGTGGCTGTTTGGTTTGTGAAAGTTTGGGGTGCAGCTTATATTGCAGACTTTTCCCTGGGATCAAAACTTGTCAATTTCAACATGAAACAATGTCTCAAGTTAGGGGTGCGGCTTCTATTAAAGCTGCGGCCTCAAAAAGGAATTTTACGGTATTCACTGTACCAGGGGAAAATTGATACTCAGATGCTCACTATAGCTAATAACATATCAAGTTTTATTTCTATCAACAATTAGTTTTGTGAAATGACTTGAGGTATGGTTTATGCAAATAAGCACTGTAGTAGACTAAAGTATCCTTATTGTAATGCATAGCAGATTGCTGCAGGATAATCAAACTTTCAGTCAAAGGAAGATCAGTGTTGTTCTCACTAAATAGGCTACCTGTATGAATATGATCAAATAAATTAAATAAATAAATTTAAAATGAATCCAGTTTGCCAGTTACCGTGCTAGAAAATAAAAACTCTAAATAGTTTAACTTCTTTCACTACATTTGTATCTTGTTACATGATAACAAGTAAACAAATTGTCACTGTATCTTACTGTCTCAAATACCCCGGTGTAATGTTCAATGCTGCTAAATTTTGAGACTCAATAATATTTCTCTCATAGAAATAAGGCAATTTACATTAAATTAGCTTTTTTCATCAAAAGAAGTACATGTACATGTAATGATGTATACAAAAGTTCCTCTCGTAAGGTAGCATATGGTATGATAGTCAACATGGCCTTCAGATGAGCAAGGGCGTCAATGTGACGATACTTGTCCCAGAATGTGTTTAATATTTTCCATTGAACGCCCTATAAATTTAATTATGTACTAGAATTCAATTGTGTACTTTACACACGGGAATATTATAAACGCTGATCACGTTTGCAATGGCAGAATTCACCAATATTATAGAATTCAAAGAGCATAATATAGGTCAAGTGCGTAACATATTAGGTACTTAATCCTAGAATTGCATATTAGAAGAAAACAATGCAACAAAATTCTAAAACAGTTACGTACATTTTCAGGCGTTATTGAGAGTGAAAGTTACGTATTAAAGTATAACAATTGCAACTCGCGATTAATTAAGCATTTTTCAAACAACCTAAAATTACTCAAACTTTACTACTCGGTACAAATAGTCTATCCTGAAACGGAAGCTACAGATAGCAAAGGGTACTAGTTATAAGTACACATTGAGCCACAGTCCCTCTATCCCTGGGACTGAACTCAATTAAGGAAACCAAACGTTACGACTGCACAGCACAGTACACAGTACTGTCAACTTTATCGTTTTAAAACAGAAAATAGGTGCGTACTTACTTTTCCCGAGAGAACTGGTGTGTTTATTATATCTATCCCATATTTTACATCATCCAATTCATCTAAATCAAAAAAAGAAATAAAATTGGCACAAAACAGCGCAATATTCAGAGAAAATACGGCAGTAAGAAGGCACTTCGCAGTAGGAGTCGCCATTTTTATTCATATTTACCCTTTGACCCACGCATGCGCATTGAAAGATACACGTCCAAGTTTTTGATTGGCGATCGATGGATCCATACGAAAATAACTATCATCATTTTTGCCAAGGAAAGTGCCATCTAAATATTCGGGGGGCATCTGTTTTTCTTTGTTACTCAGATTGCGCTTCTTTTCTCATGTTTTACTCTATTTCTATCATTTGTGTGACTAGTTTCGCTCATTTCGTCTATACAAACGTCATAGATAGTTAAATATCTTATTTGACAATAAATAAATAAATAAATAAATAAATAAATAAATAAATAAATAAATAAATAAATAAATAAATAAATAAATAAATAAATAAATAAATAAATAAATAAATAAATAAATAAATAAATAAATAAATGTGAATTGTTTGCTACTGATCATGATATGCTCTATAACGTGTTGAAAACGAAGTGTATGTACTTTCCATCCAAGGTTAAACTGAACATTCTGCCACAGATTAGACTGATGGGCCAGAACATAGAATTTGTCTCGCAGATTACGTATCTGGGTCATAGGGTTACGTGTGACATGAAGGATAATGCAGACATTGACCACCAACGTCGCTTGTTTTGTGTGAGAGCAAACCTACTTCTTA